AATGGACAAAATATTCACTTTTATATAAGTGAATATTTTCTCCATTCCACATTTTTCTTACTAATTTTAATGTGACTTATATTTTAATAAAATGTTTATTTATTTTTATTATCTTTGGAGGCCTGGAATAATATTATTTGGGGTACAGGACTAACACTATTTGGGGTACATGACTTTGATATCAATGCGAAATTATTATTTATACAATATTATAGGTTATTGAATTTAGTATGAAATCGAAGAAAAATATTATTTAAATTATGTGCTTTTATACAAGTATTTATAATATAGCAATTGATATATTATAGCAGCGATTCCCAACTTGGTGTACGCGATAGATTGTTTAGGGGTACAGAAAAAAGTAAGTTATTATGTTGGAAAACAAATATTAATAATTTAAAGCTACCAAATTTCTTAAATGAAGGATACAATCTATGGAAATGACATGTCAACGGGTACGCTAATGAAAAAAGGTTGGGAAACTCTGCTTTAGCAGACAGTTCATGATTTTTTTTTGTAACAGTAGATGTCCTTTTCCTTAGTTCTCAACAAAACAATTGTATATAGGTTGGGTTTAGCTGGTCTGAATTTTGCCGAAAAAAGCATACTTACCTGGCGTAGGGGTTTACTGTGATCAACAAGGCAGTTCCCCCAGGGTGAGGCCCCTACCATTGCACTACGGTTGGGCTGACCTTTGCGATTATCCCTAATGTGGATAACTCGGGCGCGAAATTTTTGGTAGTCGGGACTGCGTACGCGCTATCCCGGTCATTATATAACTTAAAACAAAATTAACTACATTTTTTGTAATTTTATTAATATTTTCTAAAAATGTTGATTTAAAATTATGGCTCATAGTAATTATAATTTTATGCTGAAAATATATTAAGAATTTAAATATCAAAAAATAAATTATTACAAATGGCTACTTTCAATCGAAGTTTTCCTATTAATCGTATTTAATTTAACCAAGACTTAATCTCTGCTAGAATTAAAATAAAACTTGCATGGTTATGTATAAATAGCTTTTATTTATATATACAACATATTTCTGTTATTAAGAACTAATGAATTTCACAAATATAGTCAACAAAATTATTATTTAATAGTTTTTATATTCATAGTGTACTAGTTTTTTAAATTATTTATATACAATTTTTACCATATTTTTAACACATTTTTATTATTATTTCCTTATGTGTATGCCCCTCAGGTTCGGTTCTTTCGGTACGCTCCTTGGAACCGGTATTTTGAGCGGGCTTGTTGGTTTACCATATTCTATATTTTCTTTCCGCGACCCCGCATCCAACCCATCATTTTTGTTTTAAACTTCTTCATGTCATTTTCTCTTTTTATTTCCTCTGGAACCGTGTTGTATTGTGCTACGCCCTGCACCAGCAAACTCCTGTTCATTATGTTAGTTGCATTTTGTTCCATTCGCTCTCGTACTATAATCGTGTGTGTCGCAGCCGAAAGACAGGCCTATCCGGGTCTTACACCTATCCGGGTGTAATATAAATATAGAAGGTACACCGAAGCGCTTATTATATAGTAAATGATATAGTATTAAATATAGTATTTATATTTAGTTAATGAATTGAATGATGTGAGTACGTTCGGTTGTCTTTGATTCATTTTTAATTCAAGAGACACAAACAGTTGTATAAGATAAAACTTATGTAGCATGATTATATGCTCCTTTCGTTCCAAAATAAGTGTCCCCTTTTTGATTTGTTATTGGATTATTGAAATAATAAATTAAGCATGAAAGAAGTGATTCTAGTAGCCGCCTGAAGTTTCACATTTGTCAAATTAGTTTTTATAAATTTTTTTAACAATTGTTTGTTTGGTTTATTACCTGCTGACAATTTATTTAAGGTTAATTATTACGGTTTTCATAGCAAAAACTACCCAAAAGGTCTATATTCGAACAATTACAAAGAAATTAATTCCCTCGAATGGTATTCAAAAGCCCGCACATTGCATTGTTGATGATGAGGAAGTTGTTCTGCTGGTACTGAAAATGGGTAGAACATAAGAATGATTTGTCAACCACCAAACAACTCCGATTTCAATGTTCTCGATTTGGTTTTTTTTAACAACATTCGATCATTACAACACAAAGAGACCCCGTCCAGCACTGATGAACTCATTGCAGCCGTGTATAAAGTTTGGGACAAAAAAAAAATGCAGAAAAACTAGACAGTGTTTTCATTATATTGCAAAATTAATTGTAATATTTATTTCAATATTAAAATTGATCAAAATAACACAAAATAACAGGTAAAGCGCAATATTTATTATTACAAAGATATAAACTAATAAAACATTATTTTTTAGATGACAATTACTACAAATATATGTGATTTTATATAATAATGCAAAACAACATAACATATTATATATTTTTTACGTTATTTAGTCATCTCTTTATCTCAAAAGGGAGAATCGATTATTCGGTTTATAGGCAATCATAAAAACCAATCAGCATAATATTTTCATAGTGACAACTTCATTTCTATTTTCAATAATTTTATTGTAATCTGATTCTCTATAATTTATCACATTTCCAACAATATTCAACATCTCCTAGAAAATACTCGTAACATTCATTTCAGTTTTCAGTATTTCATCAGTTTCTCATTTCTTACGGTAATTTCTCTTTCTGCTTTCATATTTCTTGCAGCTAAATTGCATATGACAGTCTCAAATAATAAAATCCATTTAGGAACTGTAAAAGCGTCCCACATTTTATCGAGTTTTAGAATGAAATAACAATTTTGATGTATTGCATTTCCTTGAGAAATGGGCTTATATAATCTGTTTAACAGTGCTTTCAACCACAGATGGGAAATCTATAATTACAGTAGGGTCTCTGCTGGACGCCACGCTCATTAATATTCAGTTTGTTAATCTCCCGTCTTATGATTTATCATCTTATAATCATTGTGTCTGACAAACAGATTATCAAGACAGTCTTATATATTGATTCAGCAAATACAATAAGCTAATAAGCTGTTTAAATGAAAACAAAAATATACAAATGTATTTTTAACTCATAACAGCAATATCAAAATGGTTTTGAGAAAGATATTAATAACCTGGAACACAAGAATATAAATATATTTTTAATGCCCTAGCAATTCCTGCAACATGCAGATCTTTTATATTTATAACTGTTAATTACAATTCTATGTCAAATCTGTAATTTTCAAACACGAACATTGAAATTTATAGATAAAAGTTTCTCACAAAAAAATCATATGAACAAACTGGAATAGTTGAATATATATTATTGCAAAGAACAAGCAATTCCTAAGCATATTCCAGTTATGTAACTGTCAATTAGAATTCAAAAAAAACTCTTCTATTCTACAATCAATCAACATGCCACCAACGTTTAGATTTTATTGATTTGGCAAAAAAACATTGATAGATTGAACGATGTGTTTTCTACATTTTTCTACATATACCCATTCTTCGGGGGTCCTTCAATTTTTTTAAGTATAGAAGTGCTGAAGTTGCGGACCATAAATTTTGAGAAACACTGATCTAGTGAAATGAAATGTTAATGAAAAAAGGTTGGGAATCGCTGCTTTAGTAGATAGTTTATGATTTTCTTTGCTTACAGTAGATGTCCCTTTCATTAGTTCTCAGCAAGTCAATTGTATATAGCTTGGGTTTAGCTGATCAGAATTTTGCCGAAAAAAGCATACTTACCTGGCGTAGGGGTTTACTGTGATCAACAAGGCAGTTCCCCCAGGGTGAGGCCCCTACCATTGCACTACGGTTTGGGCTGACCTTTGCGATTATCCCTAATGTGGATAACTCGGGCGCGAAATTTTTGGTAGTCGGGACTGCGTACGCGCTATCCCGGTCATTATATAACTTTAAACACAATTAACTTTGCTTAAGCTACATTTTTTGTAATTTTATTAATATGTTGATTTAAAATTATGGTTGTTGTCTTCAGAAAAACTCTTCTATGCTACAATCTATCAACATGCTCACAACGTTTAGATCTTATTGATTCGGCAAAAAAAACAACAAATCTCTTTAACGCTACAATCAATCAATATTTATATTAACCTATATACTTATATAAGAATAACCTAGAACAATAGAATATATATGATTCCAGTGCCCACGCAACTTCATTCCGTTTATATATCTGTATATTACAATTAAATGTCAAACTTTGAAAAGCTGTCAATTACAATTCAATGTCAGTAGGAAAATCTGTTACTTATAAATGTCAAACTTTAAAAATCTGTCAATTATAATTTAATATAAAACTCTGAAAATTTGTCAAATAATTCAATGTCATCTTTTCAAAGTCTGTCATTTTCAAACAAAAAATAATAATGGAAAATTTAAAAATATGATTCAGTTCCATCAATTAACATGCTATGCATAGAACATCTTTTTCGAATTGATTAATTGTAGGTACAAGTATAGAAAAACATATATTTTTACAATGTCCAAGCTACTTTTCATCTTCTAGTTATATAACTCTCTATTACAATCCAACATCCAACTCTAAAAATCTGTCAATTACATTTCAATATCAGAGTCTGTGGATTATAATATTGTTTATAGATATACTTAAAGTCCTAAGAGAAAAACCAAAATATCATTTGGACTGATTCCATATTTTAATATAAAATTATAATCATTCATTCTAAAATATTCTTTCATATAAATAATTAAGTTAAAGATAATTAAGAGAGTAATTAATAATTTCTTGATTCGAGTACACTTTGGGACTGTAGGATTAAAATAAAACATTAATGAGGATATGAATTTATAATATGTTCATAGGACATAAAAATGCGTCGATACAGTACAATATGTTCATTATTTTAATTAGTCCTGCTTTTAATTCGGTTTTATGGAATTATTTAGTATTGGATTAAGTTAGCGTATTACGTTAATAGTAATATATAATAATTAATATGTTGGAAGAGTTTTATGCATTGTATGTTTTCTTTTGTTTGCAGAAAGAATTATTTTCTAACAAATTGGATAATTCGGGCGATTCGGGACGCGAAAGAAAAATGTCAAATGCGTCCCAAGGCAGCATGAAGACAAAGTGGCTGAAGGCCTTCAAGAGCTTGAAGACGCCACCACCAGAAACCGAAAAGTGAGTGTAGCACGTTCCACCTTCTTAGCATCAAAACCATTTCAAACCATAAACTCTTGCTGTCCGTTTTGCGTCCGTGTATTTTCACCAACTGAAAACTTAACAGAGCCTCCAAAACTAAACATACAAATTGTTTTCCCTAACAAGACTAACCATTTTATATGTACTTTTCTTTTTGTTTGCATCTAGAAAAAACCAAATGTACCATGCGGTATCCACGATCATACAGATGAGGTAATAGTGGTGTACTGTGTAGTCTGAACTAATCCAAAAAAATGTGCATGTATATAAATACTTTAATTTGTATACAAGTGCAAATGTTAGAGCAGCTTACACACTACACTGTTTCATGGTTAACTTGTGTATCTATGTAATGATATATTATTATTACTACAACCCTTAAGCACTAAGCTTAAAACGGCATGTCTCCGTGTGTCTCGAATCACATGTAAATATACACACTCTCATACTTAAAAAAAAATTAAAACAGAGAAAAAAATAAACCCTGCGAATGCTTCATCACACACAATTCATATCCCAAGATAGCACCCTTCTAGAGCACCCTCAAAACTCGTTCAGATAAAAAATGCAAGCCCTTGCAAAAAAAAACAAGGTAGGCCTTTCTAAAACCCTCTTCCAGATCTCTTTCGACCGCTGCGACATTATTGTGTGTAGTGTGCGTGTGCGAACTTGACTCTCTTGCTGAAGACGAGTTTCGCAACGTATCCACTTGACCCGTTCATATTTCTGTTTAGGAAAAACGGATCCGCGGCGACCAGAGAGCTGCTGAAGGGCGATCCGGACGCCCACAACTTCCAGGAGTACACCTATAAGAAGATAACCCCGTGCGACATCTGCTCGCAAGTACTCAGAGGTGAGACTTTTCGTGATCCTAAGTGTGATGTATATACTTCCCTCCGGGGTGGCATTAATCTTCATCCAGTCCACCTATTATATGGAAACTTTTAACAAGTTGCGGAACTTCCAGCGCTACAGCTAAAAGCTACATCCTCAATTTTTTTCAGTAAATAGGGCAAAGCGTGTCGAATTTCGACCACCCACATTTATAAATATTTCAAAAAAAATAAAAATGATGCAAATCATTCTTCAAACTATTGAAAATCAATATATGTGCCATAATCGATTAATTCTTTAGATTGAACCAAAGCACTATAATATGTTTTTTTTTAGTTTCATCACATAAAATACAATATTATATAATGATTAATTATATTTTTTTGTCACTTCGAGTTCAAAATTCAATTCAGTCATCATGTGGTCCAAAATTAGGCAATTGAAAATTTAGAGTTAAACTTTATAATTGATAAGTATATCAGTCAACTTAACGTCTTGATTAACATTTCTCAACCATTTTTCCGCGTGACCTTACGTATGTGTGTAAGCTACCCATAAGTTGAGAAACGCTGGTTTATATAACCTATAAAGATGATGTGATTTAGATAAACCCCCTATTCATGTCAGATTATAATAGTGGTTCAAACTAATCGCCAGTCTTAATTAATTGTATAGCAGAGTTTCGTTTAAATATTCGTGCACTCTAATTGATATCGAGTCTCGTCAATTAAACGCGTTCCAATTAAATTGCGTTCGAGTTAATTAATTAAATAAACGGGGGTTTGATTTGAAATGATATATCTCTAGTAAGAAAACGGCGAGGATTCCGGATCCTGAATAAACATGAAAACTTTTCCGAAGCGCGGCAATTGCGTTAATTGGTAATTTCGTTGTATATTAATGTAAATATTTGCGTTGCGACTTGGGATAATCCTTGTGTTTTAACGATGCTTTCAGGGCACACCAGGCAAGGCCTGAAATGTCGCATCTGTAAGATGAACGTACACGTGGACTGCCAGGAGAAGGCCTCCAAGTGTCAGGCCAAAGCAAGACTTCTCAGACGTCAGAAATCCACGTCCGAAATAGAGACGCGAATTCCGGACAGCACCGTTGAGGATGAAAGTGAGTACCGTACCCTTTGCTTCAAATTAGTGTTTAGCTTCCATATTTATATGAATCAAGTGAACTAGGTATAGGGATTGATGAGAGGTACTCTGGTATGCCTACGATGAACCGGCAGTTGTCGGTGCGGGAGGTTGCCAGGACAACGCATTTGTCACCGCCGCAACCGCCTCATGTTGCTGTTGCCAATGCCATAGGTATAATATACTTCTGGAGTTTTTTCAATTTGAAAAAGTGTGAAGAGTTTTACGGGGTTTTTACAAATGCATAACAATCATAGAGATCTACACTTAAGCAATGTTTTAACCGGCTGATGTAATAAGTAAATAATTTTAACATACAGGGTGGACAAAAAATAACTTTACAACATTTAGGATAATTAAATTATGAAGAGAACAACGATTGTGCATTATCATAATTTATCCAATTAATCATATATTTGAAGATTAACTCAATATTATTTAATTGAAATAAAATATCTACATTTCTCGATATTGCCATCCATTAGACGCAGCAACTGCTATTGATTAGGTTAGAACGTTTTGTTATAGCTGGCAAAGCATTTGAGACTCATGTCCTACATAATTTGGATGTCATTCTGTTCATCATCATAAGTGTAACAGAAACTATGATTTTTGATAAAATTTTGAACCTTTTCTCTGAACCACAAATAAATTAACAAATGTCAAATTTAATTACACTAAAATAACTATAAAAGTTAAATGAAGCTGACGTATATTAAAATAGAATCAAAATTCAAAGGATATAAATTGTAAAGTTATTGCTGACTACCCTATACAAAATGTTTGCTTAAGAGTAGACCTTGATCATCATCAACCATTATCAACAATAAAGCTTGTATCATCGAACTACCGGAGAAGAGGATGAACGTTCGGTGATCGTTCCAATCTGCGTCGTGTATTCTTCCTCTTTATTCCAATTATTTCAAATTAATTTTCTTTGTTGCTGCTGTTTTTCTCTTTGATTTTTTTATATTCATTCTGTTACCTGTCTTCTGCGCACACACAGAGAGTCCGGAAGTGGATCTGATATACCAGGTATTAAAGCAGGCGGGCGAGATATCGAACAGCAAAGGGCGCATCGAGACGCCTACCGTCGGCATAACGCTTGATCGCGGCGCGACGCCTTCCGGTTCCGGTCAGAGCCTGAACCGGAGGCCGCTCGCAGGTCCTGCCCAGCCGCCCCGTCCGCAGGGTTCCAACCTCTGCGTCGTTAATCCTGCTCCCTGCTCAACCAGCTCAGGTTTGTCCCCAGCATACCTCTACTATCCACGATACGACAAAAACAACAACAACAACTTTAACAAACTAACAACCGCTATACACCATATCTATAAATATACAACACACGAACAGCGAACAATACCCGTCCTTTGATCTGAGTCTTCTTCTCTTTTCCCCCTTAAGGGAACAAATCTTGAAAACGTCTCAGGTATAGGGTCTCAGGATGCGGTATTGCTCGTGTAACAACCCACATTCATCTCTTTCTACTTCTTCTAACAAACTGTAATATTATTTTCATCTTCTACTCCTTCTTACTACGTTATTATTTTGCGTTGAGTGTTTTTGGTTCCTCCTTCCACCTCACTGAATGGAACATGGAAATCTCTATGATATGCCTCGTTTTCGCTCGGATAACATATCGATTGTAGTATATATTTATATACACGTACATTTCGGGTTTGAGCAACGATATACTGTGATTCGCGGAGGGAGCAGGCGAAGTGCATTTCCCTTTGTGCCAAGCGAGAGCCTTTATTAAAAATTGAATACCGCACAGGAAGAAAAGTATATTTAGTTTGCACGAAAATAAATTTACGGTACAAAAAAGCTTCTAAAAGCTTACAGCAGAAGCGAAATAAAATTTCTGAATACGGCAGTCCTGAAATCCCTTTAATCTACTACAAGAAAGCCACTAAATTAGATACTGCTGAAGCAATCAATCAAAACTTTAAATTAAATTATAAGCAATTTAAACCTTAATATATAATGCTGCACCCAGATTATGAATGACAAGTGAATTAATAGTACGTAGCAAGTACATTTTTTTAGTTTTACATTATATTTAGATTCAATTAAAAACAAGTACAATGGCACAATTGATTTTTAAGAGGAGAGATTTATTCCCAAATAAATTCAACGTAAAAAAGGTAAAAGCAGCTGATAAAAAGATTCAGATTATATTATTTTATTATATGATTAATATATTATTCTAATTAAAAGTACAAAATTTCTTTATCTCAAAAAAAGTTATAATGCGTTTGATGTAGAAAATAAAATTAAAAAAACCTTCAGTGATATAAATATTCTTATTGAATATTAGTATTTTTAGGGTTATAAAAAGAACTTGTACAAAATGTTATCGAAATCTGTCAAACTGTTTAGAAGATATTACATTTTTTCACCCTATAAAAATGATTTATGTACTGTAAGTGGTGCAGCATTATGTTATAAAGATCATTGTTTACTTGATTTATTTTCCAAGAAGGTTGTAATACATTAAAATAAATAAAAAGGTGAATAAAGGACGAATGAAAAAAAGTAAATAAAAAAAACGCAGGACATCATTAATTTTAATGATGGCAAATTTAAAATTACGCCATGCCATTAGGCGCGAAACTGGAGAGGCTCTCTTTCCCCGACGTATTTTTTATCCGGCACTCCGAGAGATAACAAGTTTTCCTCCGGCTAAGATTGATGGCACACCATCAATGAAACCCTAAACGGCACGTCATAAACATTTCCATCATTCCGAAAGCATTGGATAAACAATCCCAGTTGGTCAAGGCTGTACACCAAAAGCCATTATTAGTTAGTGTATGTATTGAAAGAATTATAGTAAATACCTTTAAGTTTTGCGTGTGATGAGTAGATGGCATGTTTTATTACGAACTTTATTTTAATTTTCAACTCTTTCACTCTCTGTCCACTCGAAGAAATAACTCAAGAGACACAAACCACAAGCAAAATGAAATTCATTCCTCGATTCCATCCATCCTCAAATCCTTCGTGCATTCTGGGGGATTAATTAATCGTAACGTTTTGAAACGAAACGAGAAAAGCAAAGGAGTTAAAAAAAAATTGAGAAAAGACCAATCCACGCTTCGGGCAATGAAATCTCCAGTAATTAAAAGTGCGCGTTTTATTTATTTCAATTACGGCTCTTAATTAAAAAAATTCCCCGCGAATCCGAGCGAATAGGTAAGTATGCGGAAGCATAATATTTGGAATCATAACAATGGTATAACAATACTTTATACCAACAAAAAAAAACATTTAAAAAACTCATGTAACAGCAACATCCGCCTGCTTATTTGTATTTCAACTCACTAATATTATTTGTGTTTGTTGTGATTTGGTTTTGATTAACATCTGTTTTATTAGTGTGTTTGTATGCATATTATTATTTTTTTGTTTGTTAAAATATATTGTTTATTTATTTTTTTGGTTTGTTTCGTATTTATTAGTTCATTAAAAAGATTATTGTTTAATTATGTAACTGCAGATCGTAGGACGTCGCAAGGTCCTAGCGGGTCAGAGAGCTCAATGAGGCGCAGGATTTTCGCCGGGATGAAAAGTTTGACTGGGTTCGGGTCCCGGTCTAGGCATGGATCCCCGGGTCATCGTTCCATCTCTCTGCCTGAAAGTACGCGCTTAACGCATAGCCAAATTAGTTTTCGTTTTATTTATTTTTTTCCCATTTAGTTTAACCCTCAGTTAGATCCTGGTTATATACCTTTAATTGCGTTTAGTTTCTTATTTCTTTTAACCCTCCACTAGATAATCCCAATAAACTCATACTTTCAACCATAACATCCAGTGCATTCAATTGAAAAGATACTACAATATTAAATAGACAATTTTACAAAAATATATTCCACACAAAACTGAATGAAAAGAACTATAAAAACTGAAATTAATAATAATAAAATTTGGTTCTCAATGTCTTCAGATTTGTTATCATTTCTTATACTTAAATTAACAATGAAAAGAACTATAAAAACTGAAATTAATAATAATAAAATTTGGTTCTCAATGTCTTCAGATTTGTTATCATTTCTTATGTTTCTTACATTATTTTTATACGATTTCATGGAAAAATATTAAAGTTAGCTGTAAATAAATGAATATTGTTTTACATATTAATTTTAGTACCCAGAAACCGGTATTAATTTTCAATTTAAAAACCGGTTTTCGAAATTTTACAAAGATGTTTTTAATATGTTCTGATTATAAAAAACATAACAAATATTCAAATGTATTTCATACAAAAGTGAATAAAAAAAAACTATAAAAACTGAAATTAGTAACATTAACATTCGACCCTCAATGTCTTCAGATTTACTCTTACATTTTTACGTTATGTTCCTATTTTTTTTTTAAATTTCATTAATTTATAAAAAAACAATAACAACTTTTCCACATAATAAATTAATTGATTAAAACCGAAACGAAAATGATATAAAACGTACATTATAAAATAATTAAGAAAATCAGATGGAAATTCTCGCATTCATTGGCGTTGAGCTATTGTAATTCGGAGATCACATTAATCTTCTCTATCTCAAGCATCAAATCGAGATACGTCCAGAGTCCCATTAAGTAAATCTCTCTTGAATTAATTTTTTTTTGGTTTAGTGAGACGAAAGTTTACTTCTTCTGAAATCGCAGCGGAAATCTCTACGAGTGTGCAATTTAAATTTAATTTCATCCGAACGAATGTAAACGTACAAAGAGAAGAAAGAAAAAAATACTAGCGCATAAACTTTAATTTCGACGAGATTGAAAAAGTTCCCAAACCGAATTCGGTTTGTTTAAAGAAAATTAAAAATCTATTGAATTAATTCTCAATTTCATTGTCTTGTCCTTTCTACATTCGTTAAATAATCATCTGGTTTTCATAATAATTCCGAATAAATGTAATTATTTATATAACTTATTCTAAAACATTTGTTATATATAAAATCTAATTTTTATATTCATAAAAAACCCAAAATTTAACCCATTAAATTAAAATATTTGAAAATACATTGGATTCTAATTACTAAAAGAATTGTAGTATCTTTTCAAGTAAATGCAGTAATCCAAGTACAAAAAAAAATCCTTTAGTATATATTTTTATTTAAGTTCTTTTTTTTAACTGGGTTTTGTATTTTATATTTTGCTCATCAGTGTTCGTTTTCGTAAATGTGTTTGATGTCTCTTTTTTAAATATTGTTCCTCGTAGGCACCGCATAATTGCAAATTCGATTAAAATTAATTAAGAACTTAATCAAGATCAAAGACAATTTTATAAAGAAAGAAAATATAATTAAGTGAAAATGCAATTAGGCGGTCGCAAAACGATTTGTGTCTTATATATCTATTTTTTTAATCCGTGTTTTGTGCCAAGTATTATTTACAAATTTCTTCTTAATTTTGACCATCTCTTTTTCCTTTCCATGTGAATCGAATGAAACACTAAACACGTTCAAAACTGTTCACGTATTAATGATTATTAGGAATTTAGCTTAGCTTGTGTACATAGTAACTTATTTGTTGTTTTTCACTTACTATTTTTTTTTCTTTCGTTTTACTCGATCGCTCTTGTTTTTAGATTAGTCGTCATTAATGCATCTTTTCTTGCCCTTCCTATTTCTCTTTTGTTTTTAAAGATGTTTATGTAACACGTACACACATACATTTGAGTTGCGTTTTTTGTTTTGTTGTTTATTTTAGTTTTGATTTTGGGATGAAACAGAAATTATATACAAAGAGAGATGGAGCGAACGAGTAGAACTCAACAATTTTTATTATTTGCTCATTATTTTTTTTATGATTTTCCTTTTTGATTTTTTTTTTTGAAAAATTTTCCCTAATGTCGGGAGCCGCGTGAAGTGCCTACTAATTGAGTTGCGAGTGTGCGAAATTTGAATTTGTGATTGAAGTTGCAAAAAAAAGAAGAAATGAAAGAATCGCGAGGACAGATTTCGGGTGGGATTAAAGTGCGAGTTGTCCTTGTTTGTAGAGAGGAAATCGACGGACGCCTCCGGCACTCGCCCTTTCGGTCAGCCCTTGATGCTAGGGCCACAGTTCGAGAATGGCGGCAACGGCGGCGGCATCGAGGAGTCGCTGCCGCCAACGCCGCCGCCCCCATCGCCCTCGCCCTCCAAGGGCAAATCCTCGGGCACCCTCAAGAAGGGATCCAAATCCAAAAAATAATCGATTCACCGAAAACTATGAAAAAAAAAACTACTATTTCCTCCTACTACTTTTACTATTGTTGTTATCTCTCACCTTCCGGAAGAGTATATACCCATGTGTTCAGTGAAATCTCGATGCAAACTATTTATCAACACAATTGAACTTTCTAAATATCTATTAACGTCTTCATTAAACTATAAACTAATGAGAATTAAGTTAAATTGCGCGGATAATGAGTTTTTGGGCGTTACGAACTTCTACCATTAACAATCATAGGAAGCTAAAAACAAACAACTATGACAGGATCATCTTATCTATTAGGTATAGGTCTTAAGGGCAAGAATTTTTGGGGACCATTAAAATGTGTGGGGCCCACAGAAAGTATTGAAATTAGGATTCAAGAATACATATTTTGTTGTTAAGTTTTAATGAAGAGACGCCAGTGATAGTAGGTCTGGTGACTATGAACTAAAGTAAACATAAGCGATGAAGAACATGAACATTATATTTAAATACAACATTTATAGTATAGATTGTTTTTGAGAATGGACCAAAAACTAATTTGAAAGTCTTTCTCTCGGCAGTTTTTAAATATGATTATTACAAATTTTTGTTTCATACCAAACACAGTGTAGAAAATACCAGATTCGTTTAAAGATACAAATATAGTAAGTACTACTATTTGGTTCATTATGAAATTGATGGAACAATCAAAAGGCTTCATTTTTCAAATAATTTAATTTGTGTTTCAAAACGAATTCTACTTATTTTATTACGTTTGGAGAATGGTTGGATAGAACAAAATCAACACACGGTGAAGTCACAATTGACATTTTTACTGAAATACCCTAAAACCAGTTGCGTAGCAATCGGAGTGTAGAGGGTGCACTATATACAGGCCCACGTTTTAAGTGGGCCCATATGATGCAAAGAACAAATTGTTCACGAGAAGTGGATGATTTCTTGTTATACCACTGCCTAAAATATTAATATAATGCGTACGCACAGAATCTTAGTGGACCCATTAGATGCAAAGAACAAGTTGTTTTTAAATTGACGACACTTCAAAACAAAGATTAAAACTTTTCTCGTGACCCCAAATTTAAATTTTATAAATTAGAAAATTTGTTCAAGTTTTTCAAATAATAAAGTGTTGATTGACTTTGTTCATCACTTCCTAAAATCTTAACAATACACATACGATGGCAGTGGGCCCATGAAGTTGTTTTTAAATTGGCGATACTAGAAAACTAAGACAGAAACTTTTCGCTGGATCCCTTTTTCTTCAAACATAAAACATTGTTATTTATTTTTAATTGGACGTATTTTTTGACTTTCAAGCTTAATTCTTAATGTCCTAAAGATTGTTATTTTCCTTAAATCAAATGAAATGAATTATGTTAATAGATGTTATTAAAGTCGTTTACATTATACGCGATATTTGCCAAGTAACTATACTTACGTATTTTAAATCAAGCTTACAAAACAATAAAATAAAAAGTTACCAAGTAAGTGTAATTTCAATTACATTTTGTAACGAGATTTCCCTGCACCAAAATATTATTAATCGAATTGCCTACAAATATGTGTTTGTTGAGATTGTTGAAAAATGATTATTTCTATTATTTAAAAAAAATTGTTTCTGTTGGTTTGTGTAAAAAAAAAATAATAAGAATATGAAGAGAACGCGATTGTTGAACGAACCTGTGATAATTAATGAAAAATAATATATATATATTTATGAAAGTATACAAAAAAATATAAAATAAGTTGAAACGGGGTTGTTTCCTTAACTAACTTTTTATTTCAAACTAACTAGAAGATGTTAAAATTGATAATCAGATTTATATACCTCCTCGCATAATCATTTTCGCCAATATCACGGACTAATCGCGGACTTCAACACAAAAAAAGTAACATTTTGTGTAAAATATTGTTATAATTTATGTTTATATGAAACAATTACTTTGTTATGAAATTTTCAAACCGGGCTTTAGTGAATCCGCACTATGCTAGGTATTTATAAAATATAATTATAATTATGGTGGGTAAGATATTCGCTAAGGACAAATGACTTCACAGTCTTCCCATGACCCATGACAAATGAAGAGAAATCGTTTCTTGGAAGTAACTAATTAATCTAATTTTAAGAAGGGGTAGTGGAAGGGAATAGATTACTTTGTGCCCTATAAACTCGCGCGACAAAGTAAGTTTTGACAATACCCAAGAGTGAAAACCACAAAAAAAAAAACAAAAATAAACCTCCAGCCCCCCAGAAAACTCCAATTAAACATAAACAAAGATATACTAACAGACACGTGGACCATCATACTTACTCCGAAATTCCAAATATACTATTAGAGTGTGTTTTTTCTTTTCCTTTCGCTTTTCAACTGAACATGTTTTGCGCTACAACCATTAATTCTTTGTTTGTTTGTTTGTATTTTATTGTTTTTAATCTGATTGCGTTTGCGAGTGTTGTCATCCCTTTAGTTGAGTTTCATTGTGTGCGATCAATTTTTATTTTTATACTGGATGTATTTATGTGTAACCGATCTGTTTCCCTGCTAGGGTCTCGCATGAGGAATTCGTCAAGTGCTGTCAATTTTAATACCCACTTTGGGGCCAACAACGTCGGTCTGTATAGCCGGATTAGACCAGCCCCTCACCCCCTTAAAAAGTAGACAAAAAAAAATCCGAATTTTTGATATTCTCCGGATAAATGGGTACAGTCGAAAATTCGGATCGTCTTTAGTTTGAATATATACATTTCCTTTTATGGCATAGACCTAAATTTTGTTAGTGAAACTCCTCACCTGAAAATAGAAAGCAGCACCCACCAGCGGTATTTCAATTGACAACAAGATCCAATAAGTTGTTGTTGTTTGTTGTTGTGTGCACTGAACAAAACCGCATGTTTGTTTTATACTTTTAATTTGTTTGTTTGTTTTATGTTCTGCTGATGTGGTTAAATGTTTGTTGTGGACGCGTTGTGTGAGAAAGTGTGAGAATAAAGTGGTTTGTTGTGAATTGAAATTTGAGAGCTTTTTGTTATCGTGAATGTGCAGGGTTTGTCTCTTAGTTGTTGGCTCGGAGGGGTGGATTTAAAGAACCGTTGATTTTCATGATTTAGCCCCTCACTCGCCCAGACGCCAGAAGCTCAACCTGAGGATGAAAAGCTTGTCGCTTGACTCTCCGGAGAGCACGGAGCATGTCCAGAGGAGGAAACACCACGGGGCCGCAGCCACAAGCGATCCCCATTCCAATCAAAGCTCTTCATCCAGAATCCAATGTATGGAAACATTGCCTGCATGCTTCTTCTATTATTTCTACTTCTTCTTCTACAAACATTTTGTTTCTTTACTTCTTGATTAACTCTTAGCGATCTTACTTTGCACGCACTGTTACGACTTAGCAAATCTCTTGACTATACTACATCTGTGTTACGTTATATGAAAGTTCTCTAACTCATTCTGCATGATTTCCAACAGTTTCGGTTCCCGTAAGGCCTATTCACAGCAACTTGGTAGCACGAAGCTCCCACAAAGCTAACTCAAGTATGCAGTTTTTCTCGCACTAATTCTTCAAGTTTCAAATTGCAATCGTATGCCTAAACCACCAAAAAATAAAATAAAAAAATAATTTAGAAATATAAATATAAAAAGATGCCATACGCACACGATGAGGTTAAATACAAAACGAAATGTGTTTTTCCGGCAGCTCCATCGAGCCCCGTGCATAACAGGCGGCTTTTGTCGGCTAAAAATATAAGAATGTCTTCAGTGGAACTTCCTGATGACAACGAAAAGAGCCCATCGTCGGCCAGCACTTCGCCCTGTCCGAGTCCAGTCGGTGGAAAAGTAAACATTTTTATTATTCTTTTAGAGCAATCCTATTTATTTATGGTTTTTGCAGAAGCCGCATCGTCTCTTACCAACCAACCTGTATGTGGTGTTGTACAACTTTAAGTCTCGCCATCAGGATGAGCTTGATTTGAAGGCTGGGTACAAGGTCACAGTGATCGATACCTCTGATCCCGATTGGTGGAAGGGTAAATGTTTAGGAAGAGTCGGTTACTTTCCATCAAAGTACTGTTCGAAGCTATCGCCAGGCGAGAAACCTCTTCAGGTATATTTGAGTTTAAACCTGTTACCTTCTTTGTTAATGCATTCAATTTTCATTCTTAAGGTTACTCATAATCTACAAGTTTCCGATGGCGATAACGGTTTGATGCTGCTGCGCGACCAAATTGTCATCCAGATTGGTGAAGAATTAGATGGGATGGTGATGATTAGGTCAGGGGATAACCGCCAGGGCGTCTGTCCCGTGAAGTTCTTGCAGGAGGTGTGACACCACTCCGAAGCAGCTTGTCAAGTGAACCATCTGTGTCCCTGCGCCAAGCCGCTCCTGGACAAAATCTATTATCCAAGCCAGGCCTACAACAAGATCAAGAACAATAACAACAGCATCGGCAACGGCGTAAAGAAGACATCCCCTGCTCCCGCCTTCAACTACTACTACAACAACATCAACTCGTTTAAGAACAACGCGTTCCTGGCAAAGCAAAACAATTTGAACAACATCAACAACATCTTCATCAATCATCTGCACAGCGATTCGAAGAAGTTTGCCATGAAGGCGCCGTTCTCTTCAACCAAAAGACCGCTCTCCATAAGATTAACCACGCCGAAGCACGTCTCCAACTTTTTCCAGCGCACCTTCCGTTCCGACTCCCAGAAACGACCTCTCCTCCTGAACTCCTCCTCTTCCAGCGAAGACACCGCTCCCAACTTCAAAATCATCCCAGGCAAAAGCGGACTTCGCATTTCATCCATTTACACTATTAGCGAGAACGTCGAGAAGTTTACATGGAAAAACACATTTTACAAGAACAAAAACCTCTACATCTCCTCGAATAGCAGACCTCTATTTGTACGTAAATAAACTTATATACATAACCATATATACATAAAAAAAATATATATCTGAAACAAATTATATAGTATATTATATAGCTTGGAATTGACCTATTTTTGTAAATGTTAGCGTTTATATCCTAAACTAAATGTGATGAAAAAAAAATAATAACAAAAGGAAATGAAGTAAACAAAACAAACAACATATAAGCACGTCCCCTGTATTTAAGTACTTAAGATTTAGGCACTTAGATTTAAGTAAACATTCGTCGGCTTTAATTTGTATTTTAAACTAAAAATTAAACATCCTTTTCATTTGATATTTGGAATACTCACTTAAAAAAACAAATTGAATTGAAAGAGAGATTTAAAAAATCACTGTGATTGGAAAACAATTTGAGGGAACATTATTAAAATTTCTTAAACGGAGCGGCTTAAATGCATTTAAACGAATTTGTGTTATTGATTTCGTTGTTCTATATTGATAAAAAAATTATATTACATATAAAAATCTATTGTTGTGTTTATGGAATTGATTAAGTATATGGATATATACCGAGGAATAATGATGAAATGTTTAATGGATGTTATATAAGTAATTATTATGAATAATTAGCGATTTATTAGAAATGTAATCTCTGAATGTGCAAGAACTATGTTAAAACTATGTTCGTTAAGTTTTAGCGTAATTATATTGTATTGGTGAACCCTAGAGGTCTTATATGAATTATTACTGCACACGACCAATTAATGAAGATTGATATATAAGTTTCGGTTTAGCAAATCAATTGCAGCGCTTGTCTGAATTCACAAAAAAAGCTCGATTAAAGTAATCGCTTTACATGAAGAAATTTAATGTGGATGATTTCTGTATCTTCGGTTGAATAGTAATGCTATTTAGGTTAAAATCTATATATTAATGAATACAGGGACTTTATGTAACGATTCATAGAGAAAACTCCAGACAAGCGCTTCCATTGCAAAATTTTAGACGATATTTTGTTAGGTTTAACCGATGATTAGTTAATTAATTAATAATAATAATTAATCGTTACATATTAATGTTGTATACATATACAAATATATATATATAACATATATTGATGCACCTTAAACTGCACATCTATTATATTATCTCTCTATAAAATGTGTGTATCATATATATGTTTAATAAATACTATGAAAAATCTAATTGAGACTATTTCTTTTCTTCATCCCAACCAATTATGTTGACAAATTCAAACATTATTTTAAAATAAATATGTATGGTGATTTATAGTGCTATTCTCGGACATCTCTTTAATCCAGAGAATTGGCATGGAAAGTTTGTAAAATCCCGGAATTTCTCGATAATCGGGTCGCGAAAGAACAGTTGTCTGAAGTATGGTTTATAAGTCAGCAAAAACTCTATAACAAAGTTGCTCGAACTCGTCTTTATAGTCAATATAAGTTTTTTTTTTATATCCGTGTGTCGGGATTATAAAAATCATTCAACTTCTCGGAAAATCTTAGTTATAATACAAGAAATTAATAAAATAAATGTGTACGTTGAAAAATAAGTTTTATTTTGCATAAATTTAATTAAAAATTAAATGAAATTTGTAAATGAATTAAATATTCATAATTAAAGATAATGATATAATATACTATAAACAATAATGAAGAGTCAATATTGCAAGTTAATTATATATTTTTTTTCGTTAAAAAATAAGTTTTATTCCATTTAAATTAAATCAATAATAATTAAAACATCGATAATAACAACAAAATGCTGTACTCATATTAACAAAAAAATGATCAACTTTCACTGTAGACCAATTTTGATAAATAAATATCATAGATTCTCACGGAATAATCGGAACTGCAACTAGCCAACTGTATGTCGTCTTCATCCAACTCGAATCCAGCCTTTCCCAAGATTGGCCTGAAAGCTAACCTCTTCACCGTAAGATGATGCGCGAATCTATTAAAAATATAAGTAAATAACTGACAAAATAACCATGAAAACAATCATCTTACGTTTGACTCATATTCACGAGTTCCTTAAAACCACTCTTGTCCCAATGGTATATCATTATGCAACCACTTTCCAATCCCACCGCCAGCATGTACTTATCAGCAATCTTTTGCGGAGCAAACGCTAAAGCTGTGATCGATTGTGTTTTTAAGGTAAGTACTTCAGAGGCTGCCTCGTACTGTCCCAAAGCGGACATTGGTAATTCTGAATTCTTAGTCCATACCACAAGTTTACCATCACGTGATCCAGTCGCGAAGAACTTGGAGTCGTGAGTCCAATTGCAACACCAAATGATTCTTGAGTGTATACCAGTTTTCTTATCGGTGGTTCCTTCAAATTGAAAGCTTTCTGTTTCAGAAGAACGTGAAAACAAGGACCAGCGACGGTCTCTGGAAACTAAGAGGATTTTGGTAGAGTCCGGCGAAAAGGAAATCTGCGTTACGGTCAACGTGTGCATAACAAACTTCTGCACTATACTCCAATTTTGTGTATCCCTAAAACAATAAATTAATGTTTGTAACTTGTATTGCCATAATGGTATTACCATAACAGAATGGTTGCGTGCTCTTTGGTTGAAGCTTTACAACCGGTCGCTAATAGTTTTCCATCTGGTGAAGAAGCCAAAGAGAATATTTCGTATCCGTGACCGTAAAGCTTCTGGGTTTCAGGCCAAAGCGTGTTCTGAAGTAAAGTCTCTTCCGTGGGTGGTTCTAAAAATAAGTGTTACACATTCTTTCTGAAAGAAAGCAAAAAAAAAATGAGCAAACCTTGCATTTCGATGGCAGTGAAATGGGATTCCTCTGGATATACATCTTTCTTGCTCTTTACCGTTGCTTTATCTGCGTTATCATTCTCGAAAACAGCTTTGTTGGATAATCCCAAAGACGGAACCGATGCTCCTTTTGGTGCCTTATCTGAAATCCTTTCTATAATATAATAATATAGTCGAATGCGATATGCATATCACTACTAGCGTTAGCTAACAAAAGCAACGTCAGTCAGTAAGGTATATGTTATCCGATCGTACAAATCTTTCGTTTTTCATTTTTTTCGCAATCCCTTGGTGATTGTTTAATTATTTAAATATTTGATACTTACATTCACTATGTGTTTCATCCAATCGACAAATTCTATTAAAATTTTCTACAAAGTTCTCAGGAGCTTGGAAGATCCTAACGATTTTCTCTTCCGCTCCAGATGCAAACGAATATCGTCCTAAAATAGCTAAACAGCTCATATCGTAACCGTGTACTTGTGGTCTCGCAATTTCGTGCCAAGTCACCTAAAATGTAGAATTATTTCAATCAACAAAGTAACTATTGAAATAAATCGATTTTTATTACTATTTCATCTTTCTGCCAAGGCGCGTGTATCCTAGTCGTTTGATCGTAAGAAGCACTTATCACGTATGAACCCAAAGGATCCCAAGAAAGATCAACAACTTCATTAAAGTGTCCTCCAGCTGTAACCTGTGGTGTCCAGCTGTTCGTATCTTCATCCAGCAACCAGAGGTGGAAAGAACCATGATAACCATGACCCATAATCGCTTTACCATCCTTGCTGAACATTCCTCCATAGAAACCTAAAGTATTTCCGCCGACTTCACCAACCCTCACGTTTTCAAGCCAAAGATTCGCTTCTTTGTTCAGCTCCCAAATGATCATAGATTTATCCAAAGAAGCAGATAATAATTTCTCTTCATTTTGACTCCAATTAACCGAGTATATCCATCCTTCGTGACCAGCCAAAATCGTTTCTAAATCAATAATATATTTCCCGTTGGCAACTTCGAATTCGTTAAGCGTAAAATAATCATTTTCCGTTTTCTTGCTATGTTTTGCTGCTAACGTGAACTTCCAAATTCGAATGAAGTTATCCTGAGACGAAGACGCCAATAGTAGACCATCATTTTCTAAGATAAAATAATGATTGCAGGAACATTATTATAGATGATTTTTATCTTACCAATAATTTTAAAATCTAAACCTCTGACCCAATCTTCATGACCTTTAAGGGTAGATTTATGTTCAAATTTATCATCTATCTCAGAATACAAATTAATTTTTGAATTATCATTCGAAGTAGCCATTATCAACTTATCACAATTTGGAAGCTTTGCTAATCTCAAAGTTAAACAAATATTGTACCCAAGATTAATTGATTGAGATAATACAAATTCACCTACAAGGAAAACAAATTAACAATAGTTAACATATTATAATCACAGACTGTTTACTTTTGAGAGTTTGCCTAGTCCAAATTATGATATTAGAATCTGCACCAGCAGAAACCACAACAGCATTACTCATATCGGGTGATTTGTATAAAGCATCAACAACATTGACAATGCCTTCATGTCCTGTAAGTGTTGCAGAAGACCACTTTCCATTACTTAAGCTCCAAACAATAACAGTATTATCAACAGATACAGACACACATTCTGATTCATAGTCACAGTCTCGTATCCATCTCACACTGTTCACTCTTCCCTTGTGACCATGTAAAGTGAATAAAACTCTTCTGTTGTCCTACAAAATCACATATACATTAACGTTCCAGCTTTTAGAGGTTAGAGACTTACAAAGACATCATAGATTAGTACAGCATTTGAAGAACCATAGCATATTTGATTATTTACTCCCCAATCCGCAACAGCTGCTGTTTGGTTGCAGTTTGCTGATACGTACGTTACATTAACAGACATTATTTAATTAATAATAATTAACAAATTTATTTACGTGCACTTCACATGTGTTTAGATTTTGAATGCGTTTAGGCAACTGTATGTACTTGGTAAAGGCCAGTAAAGGCAACTTACTCATTTTTAAATCTCATGTACATTTATGCAGTTAAATTTGCAATTGGTACCGCGTTCTGTAGAAACTGCATTATAAGAAACTCATAATTAGTACAAATTGAATGAATTTGTACCGCGTTATACGACTTATAACAGTACCACGTTTTAGGATAGCTGTCGAAATGATTGTACCGCGTTGTAAGGAAATTGCTTTATGAGAATGCCGCGTTATAGAAGAGTTTACAAAAATTTAGTGATTTATGTTGCATACGTTCATATAATAGCAGAAACAAACATCTATAAAATTTAATAGTGTGCAAGTAAATTTGTTATATCAAAAATTATTTTATCTAACTATTAAAATCAAAAAATTTATAGTATGGAGTTGTTCTGTACACATTCAATTTCACTAGTATTTTAGATCTAAAATATTTGTAAGAATGCCAAAGTTTATAGTTTATTGCATGAAAGAAATAATCAATGCAATAAATTTCCTTTTTTGTTAATAAGATCAATCGTGAATAATAGAAAATTATATAAAAGTGAACATTTTGAAGACAGAAATAAAAGTTTATAAAAATTTAATATTTTAGTTATTAGGAAACATTTTTTAGCAGTAGTTATATAAAAAGATGCACAATATATGCGCATTTCTTATGTAATCATAAAATGTATAAAAACTGTTGTAGTTTTCGTGTTAATTAAAAAAAAAACAATAAAAAAAGAAAACACAAAGTATACACTTACTAATAATCGTTATATATCAGTTATTACACTTTCAATTCAAATGTTGACTATTGATCTCTTTCAAATGACCACTGGTGCCCACTATCGGGTACATGTCAAACATGTTTATGATAATCATATGCTGCGCCTTCTATACGATAGTTTCTGAAATATAATAGTAACATCGTAGTCAAGAACCAGTGAAACAATGGGTTTCTTCAGTCATCTTTTGGTCAAAAGTAAAGCTGTATTGGGTTGTAAAAATATTTTTTTTTTTATAAATTATTGCTATATACTCTAAAACTAAATTTGAAAAAGAAGTTTTTGATGAAGTATCTTTATATGACATAGTGTCATGTCAATAACCAAATCGAGAAGAAGGACGAAGAAATGAAATAGTAATAATAATTAACAAAAATGAATTAAATATTAATTCTGTTCATAGTTATCAAAAACTAATTTTAAAATAGTATTTATTTTTTTGCGTTTTTCTATATATAAATTACTCTTGACATACTGAAATGCTTTAAAAACTCTAAGGAATATAAGTCCATACTTGGATTCGTATTTTCCTGAAAGAAATCCTTTTATTCTTTGATGCAATGAAAATTTACGATCTGCATTTTTGAACATATTCTTATGAACTCATATCTTTGCATGCAGAAATTCTTTTCAGTCTGTTAGAAACATGGAAAAGTCAGCTCTTATTAGTTTATTTAATTATAAAAAAGCATATGCCTCGCATGACAATACCTTGTTCAGTGCCTCATATTGGAAACGTTTTAAGACAACAAATCAGCGTTAAAACGAGTTTCTTTATAATATACAGTAGACACATACGCGTCTTAATACAAAAGTATTGGGACAACTTTTTAAATAACACGATTCACGTACAACGCTGGGAATTCCGTGTTATACAAGGAACATTCTGGTATAACACGATTTCGTACATCGCGTTATACGAGGTCTACTGTAGTATATATTTAAATTAGAGTATCGAGTAGATCGCGTTTTATAAAATCAACGTTAATCAAGGAAACGTTTAACGAGGTATTAGAGTATATATTACAATCTACATTTGTATTATGCATATTTCTATCATGGTTGATATTACTTTAGTAATATAGCTGATTCTATAAAGTTGAGAATTTATCGAATTCATTTTTGCATATACAGATTATACGTGAAATTCCAAAATGCTTTTGAACTCAAAGTAATATAGCGAAAGTAATAATATGTCCATAGTTACTGGTGTTTCTTCCTAAAAGAAAAACACTTCAAGTCATAGTTTGCGGTCATTGTTTGCATTTTCCAATATAGAGATTGCTACCAGGTGCAGGTACAAAAATGAACAACTACTATATAAGTTCATATCTTTACAGAAAAAATAGTTATTTTTAGTCACTGATAGTAATAGGAATAAAAATGTAATATTTCTATTCTTATAAAAAATATTACTTGATATATGCAGATTATATCCAGATTTTGCTGAGTTAAGGGAACGCAAATTTTAATGACCAAATATTGGAAAGTTCACTATTTACCTCTAGGTTATTACATCTACTGTTACAGTTTTTATGAATTGAAGGAGATGAAAATACGCCTATGAATAAACCTCGATTACTTTCTTATTAATTAACCAAAATTATTTTTTTTAGGGTTGAGATAAACTAAATTATATCATTTTAAAATAATCTCAACATTAGAAATATGAAAAATATTCTAATAAAAAAAAACACGAATGCAGCTATTTCATTTGATTTCTCTGATATGTGATAAATTTGGAAAGATTAGCTTTTGTATATGTGGATTTTTTTATGTATACATAAAATTTTACTTTACTACTTTGTGATAGAATATAAAAATGTATTATTACATCCACAATGTACTAAAATGAGGCATAACTGTTAATCAGGCGTACAAATTACAATTAAAACTTAACTAGTATCACGCATAGTGTGGATGCAACACAATATTTTTTGAAATTAGAGACATTTTACAACAACGTTAATGTATAGGTTTATAAGACTGCATATGAGTTGGATAGAACTCGTTTTTCTTGGGCAAATAGAAATATCGAAGAAGGAAATAGCAGCAGGAAATACATGTTGTTGAAGCGTGGATCGTTCGGATTGAAACTACGTGATTTCCCAATAACTCCGAAGCCCGGGATTGAAGCCGGCAGTGAAATCAAAGTGAACTTTCGCTCGTAAACGGGGGAACCGGAAACACAATAAAGAATTTTACTTCCGCACCGGAAACGCGTATAATAATGGGTTTCGAGGGAGCCGAAGTCGTCATCATCATCATCATCGTCGCCGAATTGAAGGGGTGTTTGAAATGCGGGGGAAAGGTCTGGGAATTGTATGAACCGACGAATTGTAAGGTGGCAAATTGCGGTGGCGCCGGTGAATGTAATATGCATATTCGATTCGATTAGAACGGGGGTGTTTTCGATAAACAGTCATTTCAATAACGGCTAATGGTTTAATCGCATGCAACAAGGCTGGATGGAGTCTAATTGATCGTGTCGTAATTGGGGTTTTAGGAATGATAAATAATTTTGGCAAATTCCGGCGGCTCCGGCCATCGATCGGCCCTTTTTTATATTCCTTCGCGCGCGTCTAACGAAAGGGGTGCGAGCGGGAGAGGGGTGGTTGTGTGTATACACGGAAGAATAAGAAGAAGAAGGCGGATGGGGTTTGCTTGGGATTTCGGGAATAATGTCGGATGTTGTATAAATAACTGGAAGTAAAGATACAAAGTGCTCCAGGTTTTATTCTTGCCGTGCGATGTGTTGATGTACATGCATTCATCCCGCCCGAAAAAGGTGGAGAGGATGGATGGAAGGAGGAAAAAAAAGAAAAAAAAAGTAATAGACATGGAGAGAGATAGAGACAGAGTATGGGAGAACAAAAAACAAGGAGATGAACGAAAATGGGAGCACAAGAAGAAGCTGCTCCACAGAAAATAGTGGAACACTCACGCCATTTCACAAATCAATCCGCAAACGCTTTTTCTTCCTTTCACTCTTTTTTGTTTTGTTTGTTAAGTGTTGGGCGTGCTCTGTGGGATATTACGCAACCTTTCATTGTGCATTTAAATCTAAGTTTTTTCTAATTTCTAATTTTCTCAAAAAATATGACTAGTAATGTTTTATTGCGATTTTGATGTAAATTTGCAAAATGGTGTAAATGACCCCAAGTGGGGTTATTAATTTTATCTTTTTTAAAATCAAAGTAGTAACGTCGCCGTAAATAAACATATTTTGCGATAATTAACTATTAACAGTTTCTCGAGCCCTGATGTAAATAGTGTGGACAATAGTATACAGAGATGTTTTTTATCGTCCTTATTTACGACTGTTCTATAAAAAGAACATTCAGTAAATGATCTGGTAGTTGACATGATTTTAATTGGTCATTGCCTATTGGCGAGTATCTTTAACTTATTAATAATTTGTTGAATCTGGTTTGTGTCGCTTCAGTCGCTGTATTGTTAGACTATTCTCCAGAAGATTGACAGCTAGTCTATCTAGTCTATTTTGGTATCGGCTACTGTTTCTCATAATTGTTTCCTCTACTGTTTCCATTTGAAGTTCCTCATGCACTCGCCTGTTCGTAATATACCATGGAGCACTAATGATCCTCCTTAGGCTCTTCGACTAGAATCTTTGTATAGTCGCATATCTTTATTAATAATACAAGTACAATTCTAAATTTCGATAAAATAAAATTAGGTTTCAAAATAATTGCAAATTAATAGAAACAATTCAAAAACTACATACATTTTTTATTTGTAAATTGATTAATAAATTGACCCAAAAAAGATGTCCTTAAAATGAATTTTAAACAGAATACTCACGGGTCTCATATTTAATGATGTTAAATTATTTGATGTATTACGTAAATGTTTTATTTCCTTCCTTTTCGTAAATTAATATTGACGTTAAATTACATCTGGAAAGGTTGTCTCTAAATTTTACTGTTTAAATAAATATAAACTTTATATAAATAAAGAAAGAAGGCTGTTTGATTGAATCTGTGTGTCCCAGACAAGTTTTTATTAGAACTCAAGGTAATTTTAATGTGGAAATTGGAACTTGTGGTCTCAAAAAAGATTTTTTAAATTTTATTTTAAAATTTTACATATTTCAGAATATAAATTGAATGCTTACATTGAATTATTTGGTTTCCTTTCAAGATATTCAATTGTAACTTTTACTTGAATTTTATTAATATT